TGGATGGGGCTGGGAGCACCCTGGGGTATGGAGGGTGTCCTTGCCCATGGCAGGGGGTGGCACTGGGGGGCTGTGAGGCCCCTTCCCACCCAAACCATTCCATGATTCTGAAATTCTGTGTTTGCCAGCCTGGTACGGAGCAGGTGGGTTTTCCCAGCTCCACCGATGGAAGTCTGAGAACACACCGGGAGGAGAGACCCCGCCTGTTTAACTCCTGGTTCTCCTCCTCCTCCTCCTCCGCGCCCCGGCGTGAGTGGGCAAAGCTTGAGCAGAAATCCAACCGCTCCTCTCGCTTGTCTTACTTTGCATTTGGGGTTTTGGTTTGCTTTGTGGGATTTTTTCCCAGAGAAAAACATGAAGTGAGAGATGAAGTGGGGAAAAAAAGAAAACAGAAGTGGGGCAAGATGTGAAGAACGGGCTGGAAACGTTTCCCAGCTGGGCTTCGGGGGAGGCTGGTGTCAAACCTGGCATGGGCAGAGGGGGAGACGGGGACGCGGAGAAGCCTCAAATGCACGCGGCCCGGGGGCACGCAGGCTGGTGGGTTGGGATCGGGGGGATGTGATGGGAAGTAGCTCCAGCCCTGGGGCTCAGCAGCCCAAGGAAAAGCTTCGGGAGCCGTCGGGAGGGGCTGGCTCCGGTGCTCGGTAACAGGGAGAAAGCGGAAGGGACGGGACAGGCTGCGGATGAGTGTTTGGGGTGGCTTCACCCCAAAAAAGGCTGTGAAAAGAGGGATGGGCACCGTTTGCTTCGGAGCGTTGGGGCTGGAAGCGCTAGTGAGACAGAGGGGGTTGTTTTTAGGGATTAAAGGTGGGTAAAGGTGGATAAAGTTGTGCAAAAGACTCAAATGCTCCCTGGGCCCATTTCATCGCAGCCAGGACGTGCATCAGGTAACAGCCAGGGGCAGCCCAGTGAGTACGGGGTAAGGGTGGGGGAGAAGGATGGGCAGGTGCTAAAATGGGGCCAGAGCAAGAAAAAAAGAACTAAATGGACTATCAGGCCGCATTTCCTTGGCTGAGCATGAACAGGCAGGGGCAGGGCCACGTGTGTACCAGCATCAAAGTGTTGCCAGGATTAAGCGGGAAGGTGCCGCGGTGAATGCAACGCGTAGAAACCTTCCCGGTTTTCATGGGAAAATAAGGAGAGGGGAGAGCCTGGAACACCGCAGAGGAGGAGGACGACTTACAAGTGGTTGCCCAGCATGTTCCTCTTCGTGGCCCCCAGGAAGCTCATCAGGCCGGGATCCGAATGCTCGTCTCCCACCATGGTGGGGCCAACCTCCTGCAGGGAAAGGCAGCGGAGCGGGTGAGCGATGCGCGGCACGCGGCCACCCCCTCCCCGCTCCCCAGCACCGCTCCGGTACGAGCTTTGCTGGGAAGGGGGTTACTGCGAGCCAGGTCCCAGGAGAGGAGCTCGGAGGCTTTGCTCCTGGAGGGCCACCTGCTGCCTGGCCTTGGGATGTCCGCGTGTGGCGAGCTGCTGCTCGCAGCCTCGTCCTGCCCTACCAGCCCGTCCCAGTGTTTTGCCAGGAAACGAGCATCCCCAGGCCCGTTGGGGACCATCCTGGCAGGAGGCAGCGATGGCAACAGCTCCGCTAACTGGGAAGGGTGAGAAGATGGGGGTGAAAAGGTGCCACAGAGGGATTTGGGGCAGTTGAGTACCCATGGGGTGACGAGGGGCAGTCACGCTCCCTGGGAAGCAACAGGGGACCGGAGGAGCCGGGGAGAGGCAGAGACGTGAGCCATCTCAGCATCGCAGCCATCGGGTGGACCTCCCACACGTCCGGGGTGGGGGGGGCCCGGGCACATCTCTGCACAGTGCTCCAAAAGCATGATTTTATGGGACACTCCTGGAGGTTTCCCAGAGCAGCGCACAGCAGGTGACGACGGCGCCAGTGTGACCTCCACGATGCTCGCCCGCTCCCAACCCAGCGCGGCACAGCCGGGGCGGGCAGCACCCAGCCACCCTGCAAGCGCGAGGCTGGGTGAGCCAGACCCCATGGCCCTGAGCACCAGCCACAGCTGCCAGGGGGGAGAGACACCGCACACACCTCCCATGTGGGACCCACAACCCACCCCCCTGGCCCAGCGCTGACGGAGGTGCTAAGGTGCTCCAGGCTCTGAAAGAGGGAGATTGGGATGGGCCATCGGGAAGGAATTCTTCCCGCAGAGGGTGGGAGCACTGGGACAGGTTCCCAGAGAAGCTGTGGATGCCCCATCCCTG